TTCTCTCTGCTTTGCTCTCTAATCTCAGTCTCTTTGTTCTTTGAATTCATTAAGTCCTATTCTATATGGCCTGTGTCAAGGATCAATGGTTGCCTTCGGAACAGATCCCAGCATGCACTGCCACGCATGGCCATTTTTAATGAGGCCTGGTCCCATCTGTCCCGCATAAAAGAAAAGAAAACTGCATTTTCAGTACCCAAGACTCAAAGAGATGCTAAACCTAACAGTGCATTATCTGTCTACAAAGGTGATAAATTTAATTAAATGCCCAAAACAAACACTTAACATCAACTAATATCTGCTTCGGGAGCCTGCCCTCCTATGAAAAACGAGTACACAGGTCTGTCGTGCTAGCAGACTATTACGACAGTTATGTGTTAGAGTTTGGTGACCTCTAAGAACCGTAGTAAATATGACACAAACAAAGCAGGAAATGAGGTAACGTGCATACAGCGATGTAGGGTGCATCTATATTCCCTTAACTGCATCCATGTTTCTCTCACTTGCGTCATTTCTTTGTGTCTTAGTCCCACCTATGTAAGATCCAAAAAAAGAGGAAGCAAGCAAAGCACTTTTTAGAGACATAAGACGTCCTTTCCTACAATCCCTCATCATTTACTTTTTATTCACTAACAAAAAATATAAAACACTGTCATAATTCCTGTTGCCAAGCCTTACTTTTTACATTGTTGTAGTTTTGTTTTCATCCTCAAAAACAGCTCATCAACTAATACTATATTTTTAGTCAGTCTTCATTAATGAAATTAACGCTGTATGCCTCTGGAAGGGTCATGTGGGTCACATTCTAAGGCAGGGACTAGCAACATGATGTTTAGGCTGAGGACATGTTGGCTTTGGGTTCCTTTGGGGTACAACTATAACTCCTTGTGTTTGATTACTCCATTTCCAACTTTGTTCCATTCTAAAATTGAAAGCAAATTGCTCCAGGTGTATCTAATGTTTCTTATGATCAGAAGGCCAAATCAGAGCCTTGGCTAGATTATAGCTAAGAGCTAGAGGGGTTCTTATTAACCAAGCTTAATAAAAATAGGACCTCAAACTAACTTAACAGCAACTGTAATTTAAGAGGCACCACTGACTCTGCTTCTAAACAGTAAAAATCCAGTTTATTTATTGGTGGTGTGGAGGCAGAAGCACTGCAGCCCGGCCAGGTTTAAAGTCAGGAAGTGGCAAACAGAAATAGTGGAGAAGAGCCTAAACTATGGCACCTGCACAGACAACATTTTATAAGCATGATTTCCACAGCCAGCTCATCATAGCTGACCCAGAGAGAGACAGATTATGGATCAGTTTGCCAGCGCAATCTATTGTCACCAGTGCACAATGAGGTCCACACTCAGACAGGCCTCTCATAGCTTGGCTAATTTTTGGACATGGATAAGAACCCACACATGGACACCCTGAAAAGGCACATACACAGGCAAATCAAATGTGCGCACACAACAGATAACTGGGCAAGAAAAACGTTTAAATCAAAGACTCTGTGCCAGCTGAATTCCAGCCTAGTCCTCCAATGAGCCTCTGGATTGTGAAAAATGTATGAAAGAAAACGGGGAAAGAAAGCCACAATGACAAATCACCAATGTTTGGTCCAAGGAGAGAGAGAGAGAGATTTGTTGGAGACGCAACGTAATGCATAATGAAAATAGATGCCTGTGCTGAGGCTTTGTGGACATGCTGTTGGTCTCCATTTAAGATCAATCCTGTCAATGGATCATAAGTTATTTTGACAGGGAGGCAAGAGGCACTTCAGGAAACACCAGTTTAATGATGTCTTTAACCTGCCGGTAATTGACCTCTGAATTGAAAGAGAGAAACAGTATTAAAAGCCTGGGGCAGGCGATTATAGCTATCTGCTAGTTGTGCCTGCTATACATCATTTCTGATCAGACCTGGGTCAGCATAAAGCAAAGCGTTTTTCTTCCCCTGGTAAAAAAAAAAAAAAACCAGGCCAGTGTACAGTAATGCTGGA